TAATCAAACGAAAGTATATGATACAGTATGCAAAATTAATGTTAAATTTATATAAATAAAATAAAATAATGTTAAAACTATAAATGTATAGTTTAGAAAATGAACATAACTATTGCTAAATTATAGTGAGTATAATAAAAGAAAAACAAGTAGAAATATATAAAATATAATAGATTATATAAATTGTTTTTTGCAAACTCCTATATTATAATATATTCACATATATAAAAATATATTATTTCTAAACTCCACTTTTTTTTCTCATAAGAAATATTGTTTCTTACATTTTACTTTTTTCAATGTTTCGGAGATATGGGATGGGGCTATTAATAATAAATAAAAAAAGCTTTATACATTTATACATTTATTTTGATTATTAAAACAATTGAACATTAAATTAGATGAAAAAATTTATTTGACAAAAAAGAAAAAAATGAGGTTATTAGTTCAATTTTAAAAATCATATTTAATAATATCTATCCAGGAAATCTTGAACAATAACAAACACACACACTCCACACATCTGTGGAGTGTGTGTGTGTTTCTATGTCGAAAATTTTTGTAAAGTGAAAATGATATAATTTATACCGTATATTATTCTAATATTTTGCGGTCATTCACTTACTATTTTGATAATTAGAACTGAAACAAAACATCCCTCGCCCGAAGCGGCATCCCACAAAAGGGTAGTGCTTTCCGCAAAAGATACTCGTTCTAGGCATTAGAAACGCATGAAGGCTCTAACAAATAACAAAATCATAATTTTCAGTTATAGGTCACTAGAACAATATGTTCAAAGTTCTATTACAAATATCCTTTGGTATTTAGAAGTATTGCCAGTTCAATTTGCAGTTTGAAATACATGGACGAAATCTCCAAATGCCAGAATAGTATATAATTCTGCTTTTCATTCAAATCTTATCTTATTGTTACTTTTACTAATTTCTATAATTTGAATCTGTTATCCCAAAGTTTTCTATATATATTCGGGAAAATATGAAAAAAATATAGTTTGAATTTATCGAATGTTTTTTCGAAATGTTTCTTTTATTTTCTACGGTTGATCTGCATATTGATGTTACTCAAGTTTCTAAGAAAACGTTGAATAGATTATATGTACTTCTACTTTTATTATAAGTTTTATGAATATATGAAGAAGTTGCGATATTGGATTCCAAAGAAAATCTTATTTACAAAGTTTAATGAACTTTTAATCACTTTATTACCATTATTTAACAGTAAAAATAGTGTAAATTAAAATCTTATGTTTTTTTATTAAAATTACATATTTTTTTATTTCTATTTATATCCCGATATAAAATAACTTGATATCTATTAGCAAAAAAAATGATTTTATATTTTCTTTAGAGGGTAGTGTATCATTATATCTTGAATACGTCAATTTTTATAAAGCAGACAATGAAACCATCCTAATAAGTGAGAATTCTGTTTCGTTTCTATCGAAACGATACAACGACCTCCAAAAAAAATGCTTCCAGAACGGAAGTTTGAAAATCTTAACTTTTGACCTCGCTACGGGCTTCTTTTCTCCTTTTGTAAAATCGAATTACATTTTTTGTGCACAAGAGCTATAAACGGATGTGGCTTATTTATATCGAAAATTAATCATATTCATTAATCTGTCGGCAATTTTGAAAATTCAGCATGCAATATGGTTCACATGCACACATACTAGGTCAGTTTATATTAATTATTAATATAATTATGTAACAAAATTAAAAAATATATATTTACAGATTAAGGCGGGGCACAAAGGTCCAATTTGACTTTGAGTAATTATATTGCGAAAACCAAACCAATTATATCACAACAAATAACACATATCAAACGAACAATAATCTGACTATGTTCAGTAAAACTCCCAGCTAATTCACTATTGTAGAAATGTGTCTTTTGCTGTTTTCACAAAAATTTGTCACCTGATTCTTTTTACCTCTTCGGCGGGTTAAAATGAGACGTTCAGGGGGCATGCAGGTCCAATGTCTTATTTGTAATTTCAAAGAGATTTTACGAAATAATAGCTACATTATTTAACCAATGCAAAATATAAATTCAATGGGTACATTTTTTACAGAGATCACATTGTATATAATCTAGATCTGGTATTTCGTCAGAAATATTCATCAGTAGAGTTGGAGTAACTATTTATTTAATTTAACTTTTATTAAATTGCTTTTTTAATTTATTATACTCTTTGATTCACTATTTTTTATTGTTTATATCTTTGCCAGGGCAAAGGTTTAGTTGGTCTTTTTGACCCCATCCACATGTAAGCTTATATAAAGGTTATATAAAAAATCTGTTAAATTTAATTTAAAATTTATAGTGCATATCATAAAAGAATTAAATAACGTATACTTAAAATTTATAATAAGGTCTCACAAACTTAACAATAGTGCTCACAACTATAAAAACTAAAAACAAAAAAAAAACTTTTTTATGGATTTTCTAACATTGCAGTTTACCTCTCGATAGCGACTTTGTAAGAATCAAGGTTATACATTTTTGGCTAGTTATACATTTTTTCCCTCTACTTTCAAATATATTTGTTAAAAAAAAATTAACTTTATTTGTTTTTGAGATACCGTTGGTTGACCTTTTTACCCGCGTCAATTAAATTATTTAAATTAAAATTTATTAGCTTAATAAATTTTGTTTGTATTTGAATATTCAAAGCAATATTGTTAAAAATAAATATTTAACTTCCCGTAGGGCAAGTTATAGTAATCGCAAAAAAATCGAAAATGAAAATTTTTATATATCATTACGTTTCAGAGGTTTCTGAACATTTTGGCATACCTTAGAAAAAATGGATGTATGTGTGTGTGTGTGTGTGTGTGTGTGTGTGTGTGTGTGTGTGTGTGTGTGTATGTATGTATGTATGTATGTGTGTGTATGTATGTGCGGATACAAATTTTCGTCGACGATTTCGGGAACACGGATCAACCGATTTGAATAATTCAAAAAACATTCGATCCGTATTGATAGGGAGACGTGCTGATTAGTTTTTGGCAAAGGCAGGTCAAGCCGTTCCAAAGATACGGGGCAAAAAGTTCCGAAAACGGTAACTCAGTTTTTAAGAGAACGGAGCGTCCGATTTTAATAATTCAAAAAACATTTTATTTGTATTGACAAGATGAAGAATCGATACAACTTTCATGAAGGTAGATCCAGCGGTTTCGGAGATATAGAGGAAAAAGTAAAAAAATGAGCCATTTGGCGGTCAAAAATGATCATTAGACATATGCACATCAAATTATCAGACATTTTATAGAGATTTTAACAATAAGTATACATTTTGTTAACATTCCTATCGGTTCCGTACCAATGCTTATGCGTTAGACAGCGACGCGGCGCTTACGCGCTTTATATTTTGTCCCTATGTAGTTAAAGCAGTACGATTGCTTTGAAAAAAAGTTCAGATCTTCCACAATATGTCAAAATAAAGAAAAAAAAATTTTTTTCAAAAAAAAAAAAAAAATTTAAAAAAATTTAAAAAAAAAAATTTTTTTTTCAAAAATTTTTTGTCCAATTTATAGTTTCTCAAAAATCTTATTTTTTCAAAGTAATTTTTTTTCAAAAATATTAATCGTTTTAAAAAAAAATAATAATTTTTGGTACGGGAAGTTCCAGCAATTTGCCTTAAGGCACGATGCCCTAATTGCCTTAAGACAGAATTCCACTTACAGCTAGTTTAAATCTTTTTTACGAACAGAAAAAAAAAAATAAAGCAACTAGCAGCACTATATACAGCAATCGTATTAATTGTATATGCGATTCTCCGCATTGCAATAGTAGCAAATCCCTCATTATTTTAGAGTATTATTTTACAAATCTCTCATTATTTCAGAAGTTCGTTTAAAAGTATTATTACTATCTTCTCTATATAATTCCTTGCTTATTTATTATAATAATGCCAACTGTTTTCTCTATAAAATGATTGTACTCGGCATTGATTCCACCACGGGATTAAAATATCCTTTTGATATTTTCTTCTATATCTTCAAACTTTTTTTTCTATTAGCTCGATGTATAAAATAATACAATATTGGCGAAATAAAAACATGAGCTTATACTACGCATAATTATAAATATTTTTATATTATACAGTTGTTGAGCAATATTTTTTTTACTTCGAAAGAAGAATCTAGCAGAGTATTTTAATTCACTTGTTCTTACGCAAAAATTATGGTTTATTAGTTTGATCTAGTAGTTCGTGTACAGTAGTAATAACCAACTAGATGAATTACAATCTATTTTGTATTTACATTTAAATCAAAATAACTTGTAGAATGCAGTTCATGTTCTGGTATTAATTAAAATAAATAAATAATATTTCAATCATAATATAAATATCAAAGTAATTTATCACAAATTTTGATAGATTGTAATGAAATCTGATGAGTTTATCAGATATGACCACACTGAAATAAAATTTACAATTAAAATATTTTCAGTATTAGCAGAAAATATTTTTATTTATGACAGCCCACTTACATTTATCTGTCTGTTAGAGTTAAGATTCGAATAAAACATTTGAATTCATATATAAAAATAATTTATTTTGAATATTAAATATAGTCAACATAATTTACAAATTACAATATAAAAATACTAAATAAATTACTATACAAAAATATTATACATAGAGAGTATTTCTTTTTTGGCATTACATTTGATTCGGTGTAAAGGCACACATTTTTGTACAATACTATATATTTACATAATCACAAATCGCGACACGATGGATGCGACATACGAGGCCATATCTGGCACTATATATTAATCTTAGACTTATTACAACTAATAAGGGTTTCTTAGCTTCACACAATACTGATTTCGGAATGTCTTTTCTTGAACTAGAGCAGGAAATACTGATACAAATATTCCTTAGAGATCAGGATCAGAGACAGATAAAACACCATGCACTTGACTTGATGGATTTTCACCGCGGAAATTTTTGGCAAAAACGGAAAAAATCACTGCAGCAAATCATATAAAGCCGTAATGTAAGTTTGTGCCATTTGTAGGGTTTCATATTTTGATAACTGCCTATCGTTTCCTAAAGTTGGCAGGTAGGTGCGGAGTCTGTCAAATGCTTTGTTGAGGTTTTGCATCCGCCGTCTCTCCCTGGCATTGGCGGCTAGTCGACGCTTCTTCATTATAATTGGACTAACGGCTTTTCCTCTTTTGCCATTATTTCCAATGTGTTTCTTATTGTCATCAGTGGAAGAAGTTTCTCCATACAAAGCTTCATCTCCACTGTCATCTTCTTCGAAGTCATTAGAAATAGACTCGTTTTTAAGTCTAGGATCGCATGGACTAAGACTTCCTGGACTGCTTATACTGCCTTGGTAATCCACATAACTTCCTGTTGGCGTATGCTGGTAATCTGTCAAATATCTGCAATGTTCCATCCCAGTTGAACCGACTAAATTTGTCATATTGTTGTTATCCACAAAATTCATTCCACTACAATCTTCATCCTTTCCGTACATATACACGTAACGAAACATATCCGTAGCTGCCATATCGAGTTGTTTCTTTGTTAAATTCGCACAGGACTATGAAGGGTACGCAGTACCAGTTCTACCTTTTATACGGATCCTGTTTCCTTGAGCTTTTTCGGCCCGTCAGGATGATCCCCACCACAAATGTTTGCCAGGAAGAAGCGCGTGCCAAGCGACCAATGAGGGCAAGGGCCCGTGCTCACCTGGGCACGCCCAGTGTTAAGTTCAACAGAACCATCGCGGCAGCTGACACTTCGACGTCCGAGCTTTGTTACCTGTACAGGCATTGGTGAGCTTTCGAATCGTCGACGAATAGTCGAAAAGGGAACGCGGTCAGAAGTTGCATGAGATTGTATTTGCATCGATAGTATTATATGTTGTTTTTTACGTAAAAAGGGGATCTCCGACCATATGTGAGTTACGAGCGGCTCACTCAATAATAAGGTCATAAACTTGACGAGATAGACATCGCGCGTCAGGGGGATGATAACATCTGGCGCTTCTTCCAAACGCGACTAACCGTCACATGGCTGTGATCACTTTACCTGTTAAGTAGGTGTTTAGATAATCACTGGCGAAAGATAATGTTTGCGACTGCTGATTCCGCCTTTCGATACTTTGACGAATTCCCTGAATGTTTTGATGACATTTAGATATTCAATGATCGGATGATGTTTTGAAGCTCTAATCAGTGTAATTTGTAATATATACTAAGTAATTTGGGTGATATCGGTTTGACCCACATGTCAATTTTTTTGGTTGCTATTATGAGTAATCTTACATATTCCAAACATGTATATGTAGATTAATAATTAAAGACACTACAGATGCACCTTATACTTTTCAAATCAATAATTAAAAACTAATGTAGGTGGTTAAAAATAATATCTTATTGTAACATAATGTAGTTATAAGGATATGCAATTTTGAATAATGTATTATTTTTAGTAAATAATATAACAATTTTGAAAAACACTGAAATTGAATAAATAATATTAGTATATAACATATGGGTGTATATATAAAATATATTAATCATAAACAGACATCTTACTGAAATAATTATATTATTCAGAAAATAATATATTTCATATATTCATAATAATGTGAATAAGGCTGACAAGTGTCGTAAATTATATCTATTATTATTGATTTTGATTTACTTTTAAATAAATAAATAAATAAACTATTGGTGCATGGCATTGTACCTTAAGGCAAATTTAGAGTTTTGTAATTTTTCAGTATTTGCTAATCGGGCGTACTTTTGAACATGGAATTGCCATTTTTTGCACTTTTCCAAGTATTTTCGAAACGGCTGGACTGCTTTTGCCTATAACTAATAATCACGTCTCTCCAACAACAGAAATCAAATATTTTTGGAATCATTTAAATCAATTGATTTGTGCTCCCGAAATCGTGGGCGAATTATTGTATCCGCACATACTACGCAAACGCATACTTCCATTTTTTCTGAAACGTAAAAATTTGCTAAAAATTTCATTTTTATTTTTTGAGATAACTATATCTAACCCTAAGGCATGTTAACAAAATATTTATAATAATATTTATTTATTTCCCGGTAGTATTTTAAATGTATTTCAATTGATCTCACGTTTTTATTAGAAATGTAGAACCGATAAATATATGTAAATTGCAGTACATTATATTAAAGTCAGCTAGATGTGAATCGGTACGAAGAAAACAAGGATTTTTATTTACATACGTTATCAATCAATGTAAATATTGCGTTCTAAAAGTAACTAAGGTGTGCGCCTATTTATATTTCGCTTTTATCATTAATAAATTAAACAGTTGATTTAATTACATTATTGCATTGTTCTAATGTTTGCACTTCCAAGCAACTAGATACAATAATAAATTTCAATAGGCGCCGTTGATTATGGCTTGTCGATTTGTTTCTTATTTAACACAATTTGGAAACAAAAAACTTTATCTGGCCGGATAGACCAATAACCATAAAACTACTGTCGCGAAATTTCAAACGTTCATCCAATTAGGAAGTCGTAAAAATCTATTCGCCACTAATTCTAATGTACCAGTAATTTCAGGCTGCGTTTCTCAATTTTAGGTACGTGACTCATTTTTGTTATGCGAAATTTTGTTGACAAATATTAATTTAAGATATCATATTATCTGTGACGCCAAACGAATGTCACTTTTATAATTTATGATTGTAAAATATATAAATTGTATTATTGAAATGAGTTTAAGTTTTTTGTGCATTATATATATATATATACATATATATATATAAGGTAGAACGGGTTTAAAAGTCAGTGGGTAAAAGGGTCCATCAGGTTATCTCAAAAACAAGTAAAGTTAAACATTTTGTAACAATAATATTTGAAAGTAGAGGGAAAAAGATGTATAACCAGCTATCACCCTGATCCTTATGACGTTGCTATTAGGAGATAAACGGCAATGATTTAAAATCTATAACAAAAGTATTTTCTTTCGTTGTTAGTTTTTTTCTAGGGGGCGTCCATTAATCACGTGAGCGAGTTTTTAAGGATTTTTAGACCCCCCCTCCCCCTTGGTGATATTTGGTGATATTCAAAATTAACCCCCCTCCCCCACCAAACATCACGTGTATTTTTAGTTACGTGAAAAAACTGTAAAATTTCTGATTTTTTTTTAAAATGTTTGAACTTTTTTATAAAAAAAGTAAAAAAAATAATTACACGTGATATCTTGCTATACCCCTCCCTCCCCCACGTGATATTTCGTGATTTTTTGTCAAACCCCCCCTCCCCCTAAAAACCTCACGTGATTAATGGACGCCCCCCTAGTTGTGAGCACTGTTATTTAGTTTACGAGACCTTAATATTACTTTTAGGTATACGATTTGTTTCATAAGATGTATTGTTATTTTTAAGTTAGATTTACCAGTTTTTTTATATAGCCTCTATAAAAGCTTATGTGTGAGTGGGGTAAAAAAGACCAAATAAACTTTTGCCTTGGCAAAGGTGTTGTAAACAATAAAAATAGTAATTAAAACAATAAATTAGGTAACAAAAGCTATTTTTTTTAAAGATAATTTACATAAATACTTATTCTAACTCTGCTGATTATTATTTCTGACAAAACACTAGATCAAGGTTGTATACAGTGTCAAAATGTACCCATAAAATTTATATTTTGCATTGGTTGAATAATGTAGCTACTATTTCGTAAAATCCTTTTAAAATTGAAAATAGGGCATTATATCTGTTTAGTCGATGGCTGTCATTTTTTACCTAGACTATGGGGTGAAAAGAACTAGATGACAAATTTTTGAAAAACTACAAAAATATATTTTCACAATAATGATGAATTAGCTGGGAGTTTTACTGATCATGGTCAGACAGTTGTTTGTTTGATATGTGTAATTTGTTGTGATATAATTGGTTTGGTTTAAAGTGGAAACTTTTCACCTATAAAAAACTGTCGAAAATAATCTATCGCTTGCATTAGATGGCTTCTTTTTTTTTTAATTACAATCTGTCACACTTAGGACATTCGGTAATTGTTTTTGACTATTACTATTATATGGATCTTGAATGGATGGCAAGCCAGTAGTTGTCCAGTCCAGTTATGACTAATTATCAATACTCAAAGTATTTGCAGACATTTTTATTATATATGCAACTATACCCACGAGAGGCAATTTTCACTTGATGCTATATTTGAGATCTATAACCTCAAGTGGAAATTTGTAATCAAAGTTATTAGAAGGCAACTAAAGAACATTAGATGCCTAATAAAACAATTCTTCTCGTTAGCCGTTTTCGAAACTGCAAATAACGAAATGTTCAGAAATACTGGTCTTACTGTTTCATTTCATTACACAAAACAAAAACACGACTCTTAGTAACTTTTTTGTCACTTATCAAGTGTCGGTTATCGTAATGACATCCCGTGTCACAACAGAGATTACGAAATTGTATCGGCAAAAATTTGAATTTATGAGGGACCAATCAGTCAATGGGTTTCTGTGCACTATCGGATCTCTGACAGGTATACGGGCGGCTAAACGGATCCAAAGCCGAAACGATTATTTCTTTGCGAATTCTTTAAGTGCTTTTCACACTATAGAGCCGGGATCAATTCCCAAATTGACTCTTCTCAATATAAGTATTGTTGGTAAATTTGATTTATTATATACAATTATACATAAATAATTCCATAAATATTCAAATGCATATTATTATATTTTTGAAGTAAAACTTCTTCAGGCACGACTAGGGTGTAAATCCGTACAAATGCAACGGAAGTTGAGAACTAAGAACTAAGTGTTGTTGGTAGATTTGATTTATTATATACAGTTATACATAATTAATTTCATATCATATTTTAATGCATAATATTATATTTTTGAAGTAAAACTTCTTCAGGCACGATTAGGGTGTAAATCCGTACAAATGCAACGGAAGTGCGTTACGGCAGATAAGATAATATAAGAGTTGAGTGCCAATGATTCACTCTCGATGATATCATTTCTATATGGGTCAATTGTGATTAGTCGGCATAGATAAACAAACATTTTAAAGTTACATCGTAGTACAAATCTTGATTTAATGAAAAATGCCTGAATCAAAAGAATATTTTACCCTGTTCTTTAGAAATTATTTCTTTATTATTCGTAGTTTCTATAAATCGTTGAAGTTATTAAAATGGAAAATATTTTTTAGGCAAGACAGATATTACATCTGTTCAAAGAATGAGATTATATTGCAAAAAAGTAAAAAAAATACAAGCAGTCAATGAATATATGTTAATTTTAATTACATGAAGTTCTTCAAACACAGTTACATGATGAATGAAGTTGCGTACACAATATTTGTTTAGGCGTTGTTTAACACAATCCACTGTGTGAACGATTATTACAGAATTTATTAATCAGCATTTACTTCATTTCTCTAATGAAGATTCATTTCTAAATGCTAATTACAATGACAAACCGATAATATCATATTTGAAGTATTACTTTAATTACATTATTGTTTTTAAATATTATATTT